CCCCAGATTCAAAAAAAATAATGTGTTCTAAGAAATAATACCTGCTGCTTGCCCTGAAATGAAGACAGGTGTCAAAAGAAAAGGTAGAGTTTTAGTGTTCAAACTCAGTTCTAAGAGAGTAGTGTTGTCCCGAAAACGGGTTGAGAATACTACATAAGGAAGCAGGCGTAAGCAAACCCTGCTTACAAATGTGCGGTAGGAGGCAGAGGGGCTGTCCGGCACTGCTCGGCACATGCATGGGGGGAGGGAGGAGCACGCATGCACAGTGTGTACGTGTGGGTACGTGCATGCACTGCAGTTAAACCTCATTTGCACTGTGCTAAAACTATGTGAGAGTTCCAGAAGGAGGCGGGGAGATGTGTGACTGCTGACTCGGCATTTTACCCAGAGCCTGCGGGAAGGAGAGAACCAAGAGCTGAGTATCTCCGGGAGAACAAGCCTCAAAGAATGAACAGTTTTCTCAAGCAGTTTTCAGAGTGAGCATTCAGGAGACCTGCGCATTAACTCAAGCCACCCATGAATAAAGCCTGAGTGGCACTGAGGCTCACACCCACTTTAATACACACATTCAGGAGCTTCCTTTTTTTCTCCCCCGAGCTCCCAGCAACTTAAGAAAATGTGGAGAGACAATATAATCTCCATTTTACAGCTCATAGAACTGATGTTCCTCAAGAAGGTCACTTATTTGCCAAAGCTAGCCAGCAGCAGTGACTGCTGCTCTCCTGGCTACTTGCTGGTCCAGTTCTCTCCTCCCCACAAGGGGAGGCCCAGCAGCAGGAGGGGGGCGCAGGGCAGGGGTACAGGAGGGCTGGGCTCTGGAGTTCACAGCCCTGGTGCATTTACGCCACCTCACCTGACCTTCACAACGTGTGAGCTTCGTTGGGAAGAAGAGATCTGGATGTAGTTACAGGAGAGAAAAGCAAAAGCCAGCAACAAAAGAAGTACTCCCAAAATATAAAACATGGAGAGGAGACTTTTAAAAGCCTGACAATCCAGGACCCATTGGCATAAGGGAAGACTTTGTGGCCGAGGTGCCCAAGGTGCCTGCCAGGCCTGAGACACAAGGAGAGGCTTCCTTATGTTCTCACTCCTTTAAGAAGGCAGAGAAATGTAGACTCGACTTTCTATACTTTTTTTATTTAAGTGGTTAAAATAGAACAACTATTTGGCACTCAGCAGTCATTCGAATGAATAATGGCATTCCCCCACAGCACTGAGTAAACAGGCAGCAGGGCTTGTAGGGGGTGAGAACCACCTGGGGACCTGCCTGGCTGCAATCCACAGGGAGTAAAAAGACAGGGACCCTCTCCTGTGGTGGGGAATCAGGGTGCACGGAGCTGCAGGCACTCGAGAAGCAAGTCACCTGGCCTGAGAGACAGGCCAGGAGGGTGAGATCCAAAATGAAACATGAGAGACCAAGCTCACGCACGCAAGATCAGTCACCTAGAGACAGCCAGCCAGGAAAGATCAACAGGTGAGGGAAGGGACTGCAGTGCCCAGGTATCCCTCAGCAATCCAAGCCTCACCCGGGAGCCATCGTCCAAAACGTAAGCTGATCGTAACAAAGCTGTAATCTGGGAAATTATGAGGCCCAAGATAAGAAACCTGTGCTGTTGGGATGACCGAACACCGTAGTGGCTGATAACACTTAAAACCCTGACACGAGAGCTGGACACCAGTTTGTTCCAAGACCAGGATGGTGGACAAGCCAATGGGAATAGATCTGTCTGGCCAGAAGGGAGGTAACCAGGCTTCTACAGATCTACTTTTAAACCAACTTTCCCCTTTATTCTCACTCCCCAATTAACTGTACACATTTTCTGTTTCAGGAGGGGCGGGGTCGGCTCTTCACTCTGTGGCTCCATCACATTCTCCGGGGAAACTCGGCTCTGCTCTCCTAGAATTGGAGCCAGAATTCTCCCACCACCAAAGGGAATGCTTCCCAGGCAGGCCCCCAGCGCCGTGGCTGACAGGAAAGACAGGCTGGATGCCACTGCAGTGCCGAAACCGGCCCCTCACAATGGGCGCCCAGCCTGTGCAGGAGAAGCCAGGCCAAGGCCCCCTGACTGCAGAGGACCCTTCGCCCGGGAGAGAGAGGGCGGCAGCCAGTCGCCTCGACCTGCGTCACTCGCGACAGTCTGCCACCACCTGGGAGCCTCAACTTCCCTCCCCACCTGTGAAAAACGAGAACAGTGCCTCCAGCATCTGGAAGGAAATCAAGATGTGTCCCCTTCCCCTGCCCCCCTGTTCTGCTTTATCTTTAAATCCTCACCCGAGGATGTGTTTATTGATTTTAGAGAGAAAGGAAGGGAGAGATGGAAAGAGAAACACCAATGGGAGAAACACCCACTGGTTGCTTCCCGTGTGTGCCCTGACTGGGGATTGAACCCATAACCTGCAGAGTACAGGACGACACTCCAACCAATGGAGCAACCCGGCCAGGGCCCTGTCCCCCTATGTTAGATGGGGGCTGGAGAGCTAAGTAACACAACAGGCCGCTCTGACTGCTCAGTAGCCACCGCCGTCAGGCAAGCATCTGGGAATTGAGGTTGTAAGAGAACCTTTGACCAGATCTGGTACTTCAACTACTGCCTCTAGAGGAAATCAAGATGTTGACCATGGGTGAGCCACTAAATAACTGAAATCACAACAAAACCGACTGCAACAATACAGGGGAACTGAGAAACCAACGCATTCCATCTAGAGGCCTGCTTGGTTGGCCACAGTGAACCCACTCCTGGGTTCAGGGCTGAGCCTGCCCCACACCACGCCCCAGAGCCAGGACCCGCCACGGCCCGCCTCCCACACCACCCGGCCCCTCATCGCACTCCCAGCGGACACGCCACCACAATCCTGCTCTCTGCTGAGCCCAAGTCTCAGTCTTGGTGCCCTGCCTAGGGTGGGCAAGGACGAGTGTCACAAAAGCTCCATGAAGTGGATGGACCCCGGCCAGCCTCTGTGCCCAACCTCTGGGGCTGCCACAGGTCCTTCAGTCCTGGTCCCAGGTGTCCCGGATCTGGCCCCGAGCCACGCCAGTGCAGACCCACATGGGAAATAATTTTGTACCAACGCACCAGACACTCAAGGGAAGGGGCACCATGGAACACAAACACCAGCGTTCCTAAAAACCTGACGTTCGACACGTGCCGGGCTCTTGCCAACGAACTGAACAGAATAAGCTTCACGCGCTGCCTGTAGAGAACCTCGGGCCCAGCTGAGCTCCCGCCTGGATCTTACATCCAGCACTTGTTTATTAAAAAAGCACGTAATGTGCTCCAGAGCCACACTCAGGTTTTCGTGCTTTACGATTAAATGAATGAATCAGAATTTGCTTCTTTCAGGACAATGCGAAGAAACATCCAGCAGTCTGACACTGAAGCCTGATAGAGAGACGGTGTTCAAGACTAAGCCCATGAAGTTAGATCAATGTGCGTGTTAAAATTCTAAGTGTTTGTTTGACGTACGTTAAATAAGTCAAAATAAAACATGTTATGGGTTTTTTAAAAACCTGCTGAGTGACTGGAGTGTGAGGGAGATAGACAAGTTTCCCCCAGAAAACACAAACTCAGCCAAAGTAAAGAGACTACAGACTCATAAAGGAAGATCTTTTAAGCACACAGTGAAACCTGAGCCTGGCGGGGGAGGGGCCCTTGCCTGAGGCTCGACCCACTACCGGGGAAGTACCTCTCTATGGAGGAGGCCACTTAAGGAATCATCCTGCCCCATAACAGTGGGGCTGAGGATGGGCTCGAAGATGGAAGAAGGATGAAGAAAATGAGCGGTCACCCCAGGCTGAGCACACGATATTGGGGTGTCCACTCTTGGATGTTCCCCCTTTCATGGACAGTGTGGTTGTTGTAAGCCAAAGTGACAAAACAGGTGTGGCTCAGCCACAGGCCAGATGTCCCACGCACCTGAGTTTTAAGAGAAGCGAAGGACGAAGAGGGTGCCCGGTAGGCCAGGACACACAGGCCGCGGCTGCACAGCGCTGGTGAGCCCCTGCCTGCTTCGAGGCCGGCGGGCACCGCCGCACGGAATCTCTCCCACCAGGCTGACAGGCAGACTGCACTTACTCCAGGGCCAGCAGGAAACTAGAATCTTCCCAGGGAAAAGGCAGTGAGATGCTCACAAGCAACAAAATCACATCTAACTACCTCACTAGAACTGTTCTAGGGCAAATGGACAAAAGAAAAACAGGGCCCTGGCCAGGTAGCTCAGTTGGTTAGAGTGTCGACCCAATACACCAAGTTTGTGGGTTCAATCCCTGGTCAGGGCACATACAAGAATCAACCAGTAAATGCATATAATAAGTGGAAAAGCACAATGTTTCCCTCTCTCTCAAATCAATAAGTAAAATTTTTTAAAAAGAGAAAAACAGAAAGCCAAAGCAATCGACAGCCTTCCGAAGACTAAAGTTCCTTCAGGAAAGTTCTAACACCTACCATTTATTGAAGACTCACGTGCCAGGCACTGGCGAAGCACCTCACAGACATTTATATCATTTCACCCTCACAATAATGTCATTAGCACCATCTCCTCCCTTTCACAGGGGAGGACACCGAGGCCCTGAGAAACGTCCCCAAGGCCACAGAGCTCGAAAGGGACAGAACTAAGAGGTGAGCTCCAGCGGGTCTGGTTCCAACAGCTACGCTCTCTCCTCCGTCTTCTGCAGGAAAAGCGTGCATCACGCAGGGGGAGGCGGAGAGGCTCGACCGGTGACCTCCTCACTGCTCCTTGCTAGTGAAAGCTGGAGTCACGAGAGGTGAGTGTGGTGGTGGTGGTTTGGGCAAGGAAGGGAAATGAAACGGGCATTCCAACAGCAAAGCATCAAGCGGGGGGCTCCCCCGGGATCGGGGCTACAGTTATTCTCATTAAACACTTTTACAAATGTCCCAGAAAGACTGCACAGCAAAACCCTCAGGGCTGCAAATGAACTCCAACTTCCCAAGTATGTGGCCTTGGGCAAATGACGTCACCTCTCTGGGCCTCAGCGCCTTTACCTCTGAAGTGAAGAAGACAAGGGCTCCTACTCCACGGGATGACCTGAGGCTTTGACGAGGCAATGCAGTTCTTTCTAACAGCGCCTTGGTGTTTCGGAGTCACCGAGCTCCTCTTCCTAGAGATTGATTCCTCTGAGAAATGGCCCTAGGAAAGAATTTTAAAAATGCACCTCAAATACTGAGCACTGTGCCTGACACAAAGCACTCAGTAAACGTTAGCCTTTAAAAAAAAAAAGGAGCCAAACTCCAGGTAGTGACAAGCCAAACCTATGGAATGATTACAAGGGAGACTTCCTGTAAGTAGAGGGGAAAGAAGCCAGTCAATTTTAACACAGGCAAGGGCAGTGTGATACATTTAAGGAAAAAGAAATTCAAGACCGTGCAAGAGCTCTGTGGTGACAGCCAGAATCCAGGAAAGGGGCCTCGACATCACTGCAGATCAGACTGTTATCCGACCGTGCTCACCAAGGCCAAAGCAAACAAACAGAAAATCATTTTGTCCAGCGCCACTGCAGAAGTGCTAAAAACAAAAAGAAACACACTGCCACCTACCCCCTATAAAACTAGAGACCTGTCCACACTGGGAACACTGGTCGCTGCCCAACAAGAAAGATTACTTGTAAACACAGGAGACAGTCACCTAAATGGGCTGGGGGCGGGGGTGGGGGTGGGGCGGGCGGCCTTCCAAAGCGGCCAGGACAAGCAAGCCCAGGGGGCCCTGTGAGAATCTAGCACATGGGAGCGATAAGGTGGGACGCTAACTTCATCACCAACTCGTGAAAAGACAGCAAAGGGAGCACCTGCTAACACTCACGGGAGACCAGAAGAAGAGGTGCCTCTGTACCCCGAAAAGAAAGCAACATAAATGCATGACTAGGTTTGGGCAATTGCTTAAATGCAGCGGTGGGGTCCACCTGGGTCAGATCCAGAACTATTTTCATCAACCCCTGTGTGAGGGGGGTCTGAAGGCGAACGCACGTGCAACAACTGAGGCTGCAGAACTTGGCTGCTCCTCCCCAGTGAGGTGACCACTGGCAGTAGCATGTGCCCTTCAAGAGGGACGCAGCTAGGCCCTTGCTTGCTACGCTGGCTTCTAAAGGCATGAGTCTGGCCTGATATGGCAAATTTTCATGTTTTCCAGGAGCTCTCTGAGCTCTAGAGATGACATCAAGAAGTATAAATCCAGAGACACACAACATGAAACTATTAATAGAAGTATATGACAGGGTTCTAGGTTTCTTTCTAAGAACATGCAAATGCTTCCCAACGCCTCACCCCGGGCTTGAGTGTTTACAGGCACAGCACGCTGTATTCTAGAGATGGCTCGGAGAAGAATCAGATGTGTTGGTCTCCAGTTAGGGAATAAACTGGGTTTAGCATTTACCATCCAGTCCACAATGTGCTGCTTGTCGGTCCTGCAATTCTTCTGCACACAACCACAACCAGCACGCAGGCCAAAGTCCCTCAGTTTGGGGGGCGGGGGGGGGTGCGGACCAGACAGATTTGAGTATGCAGCCCAACCCTCCTGGCCAACCCACGGGGCACACACCTAGCACACCCTAAACCCTGCCCTGGCCTTAGAAAACAATTGCTTTGTGTCTGAGCACGCTTTAGGTATGCCATGGCCTGCATTAAGTATAAGCTAGGAACTGACCTGGTCACATGTCTTTGTTAGGATTTAAAATTAAAAGTGCCCTATGACTCAGCAACTGCCCTTTCTTGGTATCTACCCTACAGCAGGGGTCCCCAACCCTTGGGCCACTGCCCAGTACCTGTCAGTGGCCTATTAGGCACAGGGCCGTACAGCAGGAGGTGAGCAAAGCTTCATCCTGCTCCCTATTGCTTGCATTACCACCTGAGCTCCTTCCCCCTGCCCCCCACCCTCTGTGAAAAACCTGTCTTCCACGAAACCTGTCCCTGGTGCCAAGAAGGTTGAGGACCGCTGCCCTAGAGAGAAACACTCGCCTGCATTACAAAGAGGCAAGTGTAGCCAAGTTTATTTTTAACAACATTTGCAACTGCAGAGGATTTAGAAATAACTTCAAATGTCCACCAGCTAGGGGAAGGCTAAACCATTGTTTACCCTTCTGATTCTAAGAAAGGCCCTTCAGGAATTAAACAAAATCAAGAAGACCTCCATAAGGATAGGAAGCAATGACCAAGACGTGCCGTTGTGGGGCAGGGCGGCGGGGGGACCACTCTGGCAGGACAACACGCTGCACTGCTTTCAAGTTCTACAGGTGGAAGTGAGCACATGTAAGCGCAATTGAAAAGTACCAACAACCTTGTGACGGCGGTTGAGCTCTGGGGAAGGGCTGGATTAGGAGTGGTTGTCAAGGAAGATGTGGTTGCTCTGGACGGTTTGCATTTTTTCTCCTGGGTACGTGTTCATGTACTACCTGTGTGATAAAATTTCACTTAACCATTTACAGGAAGGAAGGAAGGAAGGAAGGAGGGAGGGAGGGAGGGAGGGAGGGAGGGAGGGAGGGAGGGAGGAAGGAAGGAAGGAAGGAAGGAAGGAAGGAAGGGAGGGAAGGAGGGAGGGAGGGAGGTAGAAAGAAAGAGAAAGAAACCGACCCTGTTCCTCTCAGTAATATGTCTGGGGGCACATGCTTCCCAGGAGGCAGAGAGCTCTGCAGTGCAAAGCACTGGGCTTTGCAACACGGATCTTGTTTCAATATTACAAGCCCAACTCTGCAACTCTGTGGATTGTTAAATTTATATGCTAGTTCAAGGAAGAGGCAGGAAAAAAAGAGAAAGTGTGTTGGGGGCTTCTGGGTAATCCAAAGGGATGTCCTAGGAATCATTCCAGTTCTTCCAGCTGAGGATTCCAGCTCTCCGACACAACAAGCATGCACACGCACACATACACACACACACACACACACACACCAATAATGGCAGCCCTCACCCAATCACACTTATTCCTAACATTAATCTGGATCCTGTGGACACTGAGAAAAACCTGAACACTCCATTAGACAGACTCCAAAATATGACTGACTCACCAGGACTACCTAAACCATTAGGGTACTGGTTTTTAAACACATACCCCCTCCGCCCCTTCAAAGCACTATGTACAAAGTCCTCAGGAACACAAAATTCTAACATTAAGAACCTAGTTGGCAAAACCAACCTAGCGTGATAGAAATCGGAGCTGTAGGCCTTCTGACTGAGGGGAGGATAATCTGGAAACAGTCACGAGGAACATTTCTGGGGTGATGCAAATGCTCTGTCTTGAAATGCATTTGTCAAAACCAATTAGCCAGCACACTTCAGATCTGAGCATTCCACTGTATGCAAATTATACCTCAAATTAAAAAAAAATGAACTGCTCAAGCACAGTTTCCCTGCCAGCTGCAGCAGAACTTTGAGCTGTCCTATCAGACATCTGAAATCTCTGTTATGCTATGTAAAGAGCACAGAGCACCATAGCGACAGTCGCCATAAAAATAGATAACAAGATTAAAATGGATAGAGGACACACGAATTTAAGAACAGCACACCAAGAGCAACTCATTTTCGGCAGAGGAAAAATAGAAAGAGGAGAGGGAGTTTCTCATTCCCCCTGCGCATTGAAAAATGCTGAATGTGGTTGTTTTCACTAAAAGTGTTTTATGACTTCCCAATACTCAAAGGACAAAAAAGGCCGAAAACTGTTATTTCTTATTGTATTTTTCTTTTAAAAAAAAAAGGAGAAGCAGCATATGGCGGTTTAAGTTTTTCCCACACCATCTCTGTGGCCCAGGGAACCCATTCGCAGCGATTCAGCACGCAAAGCTGAGGTGCCCGACTCTGAGTGGGACCCTGACGGCACTGAGATCCAGAACCGCTGGGCCCTTTAGCACCAATGCACAAAGATTTCCAACTTTAGTTCTACAATTACCAAGTTCTGGCCCTGGGCAGCCTGGCTCCATTGACTGGAGCATCATCCTGTAGACCAAAAAAAGTTGTGGGTTTGATTACTGGTGAGGAACATATGAGAAAGCAACCAATCGATGTTTTTCGTTCACATCTCTCTCCCTCTCTCTCTCTCTCTCTCTCTCTCTCTCTCTCTCTCTCTCAGAGCAATGGAAACATGTCCTCAGGGGAGGATAATAATAACAATAATGATAATTTTTAAACAAGTTCTGCCTATATTTTTACATACTTCTAAAACCGTCATTTTCTAGGTCATGCACCCCAAAACTGCTTCACTCCATGTGACAAGAGAGCACTTTCTTGCCAGATACTGATTGTTTGAATGCCAAAGTGGGAGCCGGGACCTCGCGGGGAGGGGAGCCGTCCTGTGCCGTTCTCTGGCGGGCGGCGAGAGGGACCTGGCTCTCCTTGCGGAGCACCCTCAGAACATTCGCCACGTGAGTCAGCCCTGGCAGTGCCCCAGCCGCAAAAAAAAAAATCCGAAAATATCAGAAAGAAAATCTAAAATTTTTAAATAATCAGGGTAGCTTCTAAATAAACCATAAGTTTAAGTAAACTTCAGGCAAAATTGAACTAATCACATTTCTACATGTAAGCTATGAATAGTAAAAATGCAAAATGTCTAACTCAAACCACAAACTTATTGTCTGATATAAACTACATATATGCATTTTGGGAAAATCCCACTCAAAAGTTTCTTTAAATTTATCCACCTCTTAAGAGTCCTCTTTGCCGCTAAACCTACCGAGCAATCACAAGGCTCAGTGTCTTCCCAGGCGTCAGGACGGCAGGTAGGGTGCTGTGCATGGGGACGTAAATCCCTGGTGTTGGAAAGAGGAAGGTGACGATCAAGGGCACTGCCAGGCCCTCCACAGCCAAGCAGAGGGCCCATCATTTCAGTAAAGGGCCCCATCTAGGTTCATTCATTATACTGACTAGAACTGCCAATACACACATTAGTCTTCTCTGTGTCAATCCATTTTATTTACTACCAGTTGCCATTTCCACCCAAGCCCCATCATTTTCACTTTCTTAAAGACCAAATTCAGCCCTGGGTGTTGTGGCTCAGTGGGTGGGGCGTCATCCTGCAGACTGAAAGGTCACTGGTTCGATTCCTGGTCAGGGCACATGCCTGGGTTGTGGGCCAGGTCCCCGGTTGGAGGCAACTGATCGATGTTCCTCTTCCTCTCTTTCTCCCTCCCCTCCAAGAATAAACAGATAATA